CTTCAGCTTGGCTAATTCTGAAACCTTTTTTCCTTCATCTAGGAAAATCATTAAGGTTAAATGATTAGAGTTTGCCAAATACTCCAGGCTGCAAGCCCAGGATAGTCTTAACATTAACAGCAAAGAAGGTACAAATATTTAAGATACTAAGTCTTGCAATTAACAGGCTTGCTTCCAAGACACTTTCATATTCTGGATATTTTTTCATAAGTGTCAATTATTGGTTCTTTTAGATGAAAATCATATGTTATTTCCAGGACCTTGATAACTATATGTGATAATTATTTATAAGACATCATGAGTAGAAATCCTGGTAAAATTCTGTTTCGGCAACTGGATCCTGGCACAGCTCCACAGTAGATCAAATATCGGCAGATTTTCTGTTGCCAAATTTCACTCACTCCCAAATTTGTCTTAATCTTTATTTGTCTTATATATTGAAGAGGAGGGCAGCTAGGGGACACATATCATGGCCTTAAAGATCACGTTAGAAATCAGGAGAAGGCATGGAAGTGTTTTTTAATAAGCCCATCTATCCCTGCAAAACTACCCTTCCACATTCTTTGATTCCTTTTGATTTAGCAAATATTGTCTTATGTTCTATGGGACTCTTTTCTGCTGAATCTTCTTTTGATAGTGTCCTCACTCACCTTGCTTTTGTCCTTTATCTTCGGGGACTGGATTTCTTTCAATTTCTTTCAATCCTTTTACAAAAGAGAGGAGTGTAATGTTTCCACTCTTTTCTTCTTTTATTTGCTTGGAAAATGGCCATCCAGCCCTAGAGCTGCAAGGTCTGTGATTCTACGATTTCAGAGTTCATCCTGACACTCTCTTGCTGCCAGTCCCAGTAAAACAAACGTGAAAACAGAGTTCTTGATGGCTGGCTACATATTTACCTGAGCCAACTTGGACAGTCCTGCTTCACTGAGCAACCAAGAGCTCCAATTATTTATGCTCTCCTTTATGAAAGAAAAAAAAGGATCCAGAACTAACAAAACACTGAAGCCACAGCTTCTCCCTCCATACTGACCTGTCAGGTAAAGACTGATTTGTTAAAAGCAACACCAGTTCTGTGCAGAGAATGAAGCTGCTGTGATGCATGTCATCTCTATCAGCTAGAAGAGTACTTCAGCTGCTGGGGATTTTACTTTGGCATGAAACCAGATCCAGCCCATCTTATGAGCAAGAACACGTACACATTCCTGCACGCATCTCCACACCCCCAGAGGACCGGCACACTTCTACCTGTATGTGTGTTTTCCTGTGCATCCTTGAGGAAAACAACAGCTTTTGTGTCTGTGTGTGTGTGTGTGTGTGAAAATTGGCATGGTTTCACTAATTGTTTTAATTCTATCAAGTAATTAGGTGGTCTTGCTCTTTGTTTTAGAGTTTTAACATTTAAAAAAATGGGAAACTTCAATGCAACATTTCTAATGTTTGATATGATGGGCTCCATGAAGGCAAATTAATCTATTTGATAGTTGAATTTAAGCCCCAGTTCTGCAAAGCCCTTAACCATTTGCTTATCTCTGGATACATGACTAGTTGCACTGATGTCACTGCAATAAAATTTGAACATGAGAAAGGGTCCTTCTATGGTACCCATTATTATAATATAAAAATATAAAGCTAGAAAGCAAAGTCTATCATCTTCTCTAACATATAACATTTCTATAAGTGTATTTCTTTTCATTTGGTGTTACTTTTAATTACTCATCAACCCTGCTTTTTATAAAGCTTCATGTTCCTTTTAAATTAAGTGTTTAATATCAAAGTGAAGCAGAAGAAATTTTACAATTTAAACTGCAAATAAATTACCCAATTATTGACAATCAACAATCTTTCTTTAGGGTGCAATGGATTTAAATAGCTCATGCATTTAGTAAAATGAGAACACCAGAGCAGAAACATTAACTCAAAAATATTTTTTTTTTCCTTGTGCAATATAAGATTATATTGCTACAGGGGTAACGTTGTTTCATTTTGACACATGGCTATGCAGTGTGGGCAACCATTCATTTCAACAGGTACCTTTGAGATGGATTCTCTCTGACCTTATAGCTATACTTAGCTGTGGACTGAGGACTTACCTATGCTTACAATGAAAAGTATAGCTAAGTCCTATACCCTCAGACACCTTCCCCGCTGCAGGCTCTTCTTCGGCACAAAAGCTTGAAATGCTGTTCTGCTCAGCATCATCCAAGTACAGATCAAGCTATTTTATCCGAGGCCTCCCATTGCTCCTGACACAGGCTGGAAATAATGGCCAGGTTTATTGCTGTGTTATTATTGCTCTAAGGTCAGGCTCCTGGCTCTTTCATCCGTTCTCCTGCACTCTCTCATTCTTTCATTTGTTCATCTTGACCCAGCTCACACTTGTGAGCTACATTGCATTTGTTAGATCAAGAGGCTGCCCACCATGCCTCAGAGCATTGACTAGGGCAGTGGTCCTTAGGGTAAATGGAGCATGGTATGGAGAAATAAACATTATTCTCTCCAGCCAAGACTGAATGTGCGTGTTGTATCTGTTGAGCACATCTCTGACACTGATTTAACAGTTCTTTCTTCTTAATATGTATCAGGTACACTCTCCCCCTCTCCCACTACCAAGGCACAAAAGTTGAAATCACACCATGCAAAAGTTCAAATTTACTTCATTCTATCCCACTTAGGTCACAGCTTTGGGCAGTGCGATCAGGTGATTCTTTAAACTCTTTTTAAAGTAGCATTTTGACATTTATTTTCTCTACCTGGAAGCATCATGATGAGAAAGATTTACTTTTTCAAGCTGCAACTACAATTCTCTAGCAGTTTTAGGAATACTTAGCAATTTAAAAAGACCTATCAGATGGAGTCCATCTTATCACAAGAAATGCTTTAGCACACCCCACCCTGGTATAAAAGTGATCATTTTCAAAGCAATCCAATGGATTTAGACATCTGGTGTATGCTTAAGTCTGGTTTTGAAATTCCCAGCAGAAGCTATAGACAGTGTCTGTACACAGGCAAAGCAATAGATCATCCAGAGACAGGTCTCTCCAGGGACTGCCCTGCGATTGGGCAAGGATCAGCATCAGTGACATTGCCAGGTGCTTGATGGCTCTCCGTGGTTTCTGATGGTCTTCTCTTTAGGAAGTCAGACCCTCTTTGTGGTCTTCTGTAAGGAAGCCAAGAATGGTGTGATCTACAGAGCATAACCAGATTACAAAACCAAGTAAACCTGTCTGTCTGCTCCAGCACATTAAGGAGAGAGGCTAATGAGCTCAAGCCAAGGCCACAGCTCCTCAAGTCCTCTGGTCACGTCAGGATCTTTGTTTCACTTGACATTTTTTTAAATAAAAAGTTTTGAGGGTTATGAAGAAAAAATGAAACAAGTACTATGCTTCCTGCTGTGATGTCAACCTGAGATCTTCAGAGTGGCCAAGAGTGTAAGTGTTGCCTCCCACTAAGGTCTCTTTACAAAGCTGGCCTGACAATATCCTGCAGACAGTCATGGACGTGCTGTCTGCCTTGAGGCATGCTAATGCTTTGGACAAGTTGAGATGTACAGACATCTTGTGTGTCTTGTGCCTAAGGCAGGATTAGCCAAGTTGATAATTGCCTGAACCGGAAGCCTGGCCCTCAAGGATGCCATTAGGACAGAGTATGGACATGCCACCTGTTTCAGCTCTGTCTTTCCAGAGGGAAACTCTGTTGTTACCTTCTGTTCTCTGGAGGGGAGAATGGTTTCTGCTGCTTTTTCCAGGGAGTGGGAAGAAAGTGGTGTATTGGTGCTTGTGCCTTACTGAGAGCACCCACTGCTTAAAGCAGGGCAATATAACCCAAGACAGCAACACATGGAGAACCTCAGCTGTAATGAGTCCCAAGCACTCAAGATCAAAATGACCAAGATGATGCAGTCCAAAATTACTTTTGAGATGGGCTGAAATCCTGAGGAGTAACAGCAGCCGTCTCCTTGCTTTCGGAGATCTCTGTGAGGAGACTTCCTCCCTGCTGCAGCTGCTGTTTTCCTGATCTCCTCCCCTACTGCAGGCACTGTGGTGCCTGGAAAGGGAGCAATCACTTTACAGTCCACCATGGGGTTCCCCAACACTATTCGCTGGTGATGAGTTTGGCTGTATAAAGATACTGTGGCCATTAAATGTATTCAAGGCCATATTGTGACACTATTAAACACATTAAACAAAAGATCAGTGAAGTTTTAAGCAGTGAGTTGTGACCTTGGGTGGGCATAGGGAAATTTCTCTATTTTTGTATTTGTGGACTCCATTCCCACAGCAGCCCCCATGCAGGTGGACCCCCGACACCATGATCCTTTGCCACCAGGAGCCTCCTGGTCAGGATTGATGCCTGTGAGAGGGGAACATGAATGGGCTCCCTGCAGCCATGTCCTGGGTTACAGTCACCCAGCAGCTTGCAGCCGGGTCCAGTTTTAAGCCCTGTTGCTGAGATAGCAGAGGTGGACCCACCCAGCTCTTTCTGAAGGGAGCAGGCCCTGGCCCATGTTACGTGCAAACCCTCAAGATCTCAGTCAAAAATAATCACAATGTCCTCAGATGCTGTCTGGAGGAGGAGAAGAAAGAGAAGGGTGGGAAAAACCCTCTTCTGACTGCAGCCGCTGTGGAGAGCGGTGCCACAAGCACTCCCTGGGCTGGGCGGGCAGAGGGACGCCCACCCCGTGGCTGGTGCGCTCATGGTGCCAGCAGCCTCTGCTTCGGCTCTTATGTGGCGTTTTCCCCTGTGTGGAAAACAGCAACTGGCCAAGCAAGTGAGCTCGGAGGCCTGTCTGCTGAACTGCTATAGAAAATTAAAAGGAGCCATTTAAACAGCTTGGCTTCTCTAATTGCTTGAATTATGCCCCGCATTCCCTGTCTGAGGTGGATGTACAAGTGGGCAGAAACCTAGAAAAGTGCTTTTTCCTGGGTGGGCAGAAAGGAGGCTGGTGGCGGCGCTTCCTCTCCCGGCTAACGCTGTGCCATGTTGCTCTGTTTCCCTTGCAGGGACCTGCCACATCGGCTGGGCCTACTACTGCACAGGCGGGGGCGCGGTGGCAGCCATGCTGGTGTGCACCTGGCTGGCCTGCTTCTCGGGCAAGAAGCAGAAGCAGTACCCCTACTGAGCCAGCCCTGGGGCGCGGGCGCTGCCAGACGCCTGAGGGGCTTGCCGACCGACGTCTTCTGGATAATGACGATGAACAAGAAATTTTTAAGTGCTTTCTCTCTGCAGCGGGCGTGGGGTGAGACAGCAGGTGGCCCCTGGGAGGGCAGGGAGGTGAATGGTGGCACAAAGCCACCTGGCTGGGCTGGGCAGGGACAGGCTTTCTCACCCCAGCCCACCCGTGGTCTGCTCCACAAAAATATAAGCAAGGAAAACTCCGCTTTGGCAAATGGTGAAATTCTGCGTGCACCAATTAATTGAGAGGCTGGTGAGGGGACGGCGGGGGCGGGGGGGGGGGGGGG